GAGAGGGAGAGAGGGAGAGAGGGAGAGAGGGAGAGAGAGAGAGAGAGGGAGAGAATATCAACTGAAGACATTCTGATTCTTCTAGAACCAAGTAGTAATAAAAAAAGAGAATGGTTTCATTTCTGGGGGGAAGGACAACTTATTAGACTGCTGTCTCCTCCATCCCACTATTGTAATGATGCTTTCTTTACTGCCCTCACCAATATAAGATTACCTGACCCCCCGTCACTGATTCGCCTTCCAATAATTGTGTGTACCCAATAAGTAGTGGCTCGCTCAGGTGTGCCTTGTCTTTGCCCACTGAGGCCCTGACCTCCCAGCCCCCGTGTACTATGAAATTACAAGTCTCTATTGTCTTCCTTTAGCCCTCGCCATCCCCCTTTCGACCCTGTTGGGAGGATTGATTGCCCTCTAATAATTACCTAGTCAGATCTGTGGCACTGCATACTGATGACACCAACAGTGTTCCTGGGAGAGTTTGCTTGCAATTCTTGTCTTCCAATATTTATTCTACAGCAGCACACTTTGGTCTATGATTTAGAAAGGTCAGTATCACTCCCTTCTTTTCCCCTTGTGGAAAGATTTGAGTTACTTGAATATCTTTCGAGGAGGCTACATGTTAAAAAAAAAAAAAAAAAAAAAATCACTGGTTCTTTCCCCAGCTTAGGAGATACTACTCATTTGCAACTAGAATGAACTTTGAGTGAGTTTATCAGCTCCTCCTTTTCTTTTTCATTTTGCAAAGCTTACCATGCTTCAGTTGTAACATGCAGCTACTGAGAACTGACTATTTGACACCCAGCCAAAAGATATTTCCTATCTGATTTTTAAATGAATACAAACTTTGTCGATTAAAAGGCAGAGTATCCTAGTAAACCTTTTTGCCAGAAATTCTTAGGAAATTCAAGAATACCAAAGCCACATTTCAGCAACAGTAGCAGTAGCAGACACAAGATTTAACTCACTTTAGTTATAGAGCATTTTCTATAAAATGATGGTCCTTTCCCTAATTAATTAATGTTCATATATGATAGAAGAGGAATACTGCCTTCTTTTTCAATCTTGAACAAATTTCCAACAATGAATGTAACTGTACTGTATCCCTAAAATGTACCAATAAACTCAATTAAAGCTGAAAAAAAAAAATTTTCTTTTTCAATCTTGAACGTGTGATAAAATATACCAAAACATATTTTAAATAGCAAGCTGAGGTGTTTACACACTGATGTTACTAGATGTTCGCAGATCTAAACACAGACAGTCAGAATCCATGATTTAGTGGAGCTACTACTGGGCGTGTCTGATCACAGGTCCGTTCCACAGATTCCATGATCATGGGCAGAAGTTGCTGCGGCCTCTGGAGGAAGAGAGAGGAGCTGTGATGGGAACAAGCTGACCCATTTTTGAGAACTGCTTCAGTTCAGCTCTGCTAGAGAGGAATTCTGTAATCTCAAAGCTCCATTCAACAATTAATACTCCAGGTTAGTCACTAAGTTTCTTCACAGCAGACATCAGCTTAAACATACAAGAACTGTTCTCCCATTTTTATTGACAGTGCCGGAATGTATCTGTGAGTTCATCCCACCCCCACATAATGCCTTTCGTATGACTCCTCTGGGAATGTGAAGCCTCTGAGTCACCGTTTGCATACAAATACCACGATTCATCATTTACTTGCCATTAAGTATTTGACTCTTCTACTTTTTAGAATTCAGTTATCTTTAAACAAAGTTTTCAATTAGTGTTGCTTGGAGTAGTTCAGAGTATTTTTTTCTCTTCCTATTCTTCTTCCTCTTCCCCATCCCAACCTCTTTTTGTTCGGAAAGCACTGGTAGGGGTTGTAACTTAAGTTCTTTTTGCAGGCAACATTTCAGTGAGAACGTTATTATAAGGGGGAATCCACTTTTTGGTGCTTGGAGTAGTGTCATTCTTCTGCCTGCATGATAATCACCCAGATTTCAAGGAGTCTGAATCATGGCTTCTCAAACCTCTCTGTTTGCTGTGGGTAGCTGGAAAGTGTGTGGGCCAGCAGGGCTGCACAGACTTGTTCCTGGACTTTCAACCAGCTAGGTTTTTTACATCTAACCTAAAAAGCACCAAAAACTTCAGACAAACAGTATCTCAAACACGGGGGCTAAATTTTTGCCACTAGTCGCTGTGTATAGCTCATGTGATGCTACTATACAATAGTCCATTTTTGCCCAGTAGCCAGGAAGAGTGACCCTTCCTTTCCATGTATGAGTGGTCTGGGTATTCAGACTTCATGTCCCACCTATGAATAGGGCCATGTGTTTGGTAAATGTACAGGCTGCCTTGAGGAGTACTGCCATGCTAATGGGGATGTTACAAAAGGACGCCGTCATAGTCTGTAGGAGGCAAGGCAGCATGGTTCAGAGGTGGGGCTTTGGAGGCAGAATGGATGTACTGAATCACAGAGCAGATGGTCAGGTTAGAGCGCAAAGCCTGGATCACATGAACATGGCTGCTAGCTTATATCCACTGGATCAGATGAGAGCTTTTTCCTGTTGCTTCAGGAGCCTGCTTCTCTTATACATTGGCCCAAACTTATTTCTTCCTCTGGGCACTTGATCAGCCTTTACTACCTCCAGCTTCATTCCAACACTTAGCCATTTTTGAAATCGACAGTAAGGACAATGTTTACTCTCAATCTGGTATAAAATACATACTCATCTCTGGATATGAGCACACACAAATAAGAACTTCATTATTCTCTCACCACGTTACTGCATTAAAATGTGCATGTATCCTTTACTAATAGCTAAGTCAGCCTTGCATGTGAGGCTCATCTCAACAGAACAGAGAAGGCCCAAAGGAGCTTATGAAAGAATCTGCATATGGGCAACAGAGAGGGTCAGTGGCCACATCTGGGGTCTCGGAGCCCAAACTAACCAATCAAGTCATAACAGCTCTCTTCTTGCCATATAATAGAAGTGTCACAGGTGATAGGGTGTGGGAAAGCTGTCTGGGAAATGAGCAGGGCCTGTCCATTACAAGATCCCAGGGCAACGCGAGGAGCCCATACACAGAACTTCTCAAGAACTCCAGAAGTGGACAGCATGAAAGAAGAGCAGCCTTCACGGAGAGCTGCCATCGTGCCTGAGTTTCCAGGAAGTCTGAATACATCATGTTGTCTTATTTTGGCTTTTCTCTTTTTTTCTCTTTGTTTGGCCCAAGTTCATTCTACAGAGCTGGTTTCTTCCAAAACCATTCACATCCCACTTTTCAAATAAACTCTTTTGCACTGATATGGGCTTTTCTCATCCAATTCCCTGTTTCAGGCAAGAAGGGTCTGCAATACTTTGGATGTTGACACATTTCTAAAGGAACCCCCAGATAAGAGAAGGGGCTAACGGAGATCTCTCCCACTGCCTGCTTCCGCCCATTCGGCAGGTCTGCGACCTCCCCTGTCTGCGGGCCACCAGCTCCAGCAAAGAAGGTAGCCGCACGGGGGCCCTTGAAACACCCCCACGAACAGCCCCCCTGCCCCCACCCCACTCTCAGAACTCCTGATTGGACCAGTCCTTGGACCCACTCTGCAGAGGCATAGGTGGTCATAAAGGGTATTTTTCTGAGCTCCCACCTTTGAACATCTTTAAAGAAAGAGTGGGGAAACCTGTACTAGAACTGAGTGGAGTTCAACCCTGCAGGTTGGGAAACCCAATTTAGGCCTTGTGGACTGAGGTCAGTCTGAGTCGCGGGGATCTGCCATTGGCTAGTTGAGATCAGGGGACTTGGTTCTGTACATGGCTATGCACATGGTATATTATGACAGCAGAGACAGTCTGAAAGAGGCCCTTCAAATTCTTTTTTTTTCTTTTCCTCATTCCACCCTGCAATTTCTTTCTTTTTTTCTGTCCTCTTTCTCCAACTCAGTCTCTTGCTCCAGCATATTATCCCTCATCTCCCTTTCTATTCCTGCTCCTGCCCTTATCATTTTTTTCTTTTTTGTTTAAGTTCTTTTCTCCTGTCATTTTACCTCACTCATGGCTCAGTAGTTTCAAGGGAAAGCAAGCCCCTATTATTGTTAAGGGGATATATTCTCATCCTTATTCCTGCATTCTGTCTATCCCTTTTGAAGTTAATAGTTTCATAAAGATTGTATGGTCATTCTACATCCTCTGGCTTCACTTGAAACTTTTCCAGTTCTCTCACTTATCTACTCCTCTCGTCCTAACTCAGTCTAAGACCCCATCCTAAATGGTGAAGATGCTATATTGAAAAGCGTATTCACTGCAAACATATTTTGGGCTGCTTCTTGATATTAATTTAATTCACATGGTTTAAAGGTGATAGATTGATGACTACCACAAGTGGTCAATTTGCAAGCTGTGCTTGATCCTACTGGGCTGCTGAATGTATCAATTGGGATAAAGGATTGTGTTTGATTTAATGAGTTTTCTCTGATATTATAAAAATGAGGATGTCTGTAAGCCATTAGAGACTCAAAAGCTAAAGTGCAACTATATCAGGAAGATTTAAATAATAATCCAGAAATTAAACCAAGGATAACCCAACAACAAAAATAAAAATGAGAAAACACTTAAATAAGACACAAAGACAGACTCCCAGTTCACCAATGGCAAACAGTAGGGCAAATGAGGATGAAAAGTCTGACAGTGAACCAGCAGGACACCCTGGACCAATAGAACAGGAGGTTAAAAAGAACAGATCAATCAGGCTCTAGAAAAATTCAAAACACAAATAATTTCCCAGATAACCATAGAGATAGTGAGCAAAAATGGAAGTCATGATTAGAGACTCTAGAACAGAAACAGAAAAAAATAGATGAGCTCAGGACCATGATATAAGCCATGAAGGCTCAGCAAAAGAAAGAAATGGAAACAATGAATGCCCAACAGAGGAATGAAATGGAATCCATAAAACAGATTCAAACAGATATCCAGAAGATTAAAAACTCTATTGAAAGTGTACGCAACAGAATAAAAGACTATGAAGATAGAATTTCAGATACAGAAGATAGGATCATAGTCAGTGACCACGAAAAGAGAGGTCTCTTAAAAACAGTAAGGAATCATGAGAAATTGATCCAACAATTTCTAGATGATGCAAAGAAGAATAACATAAGACTGATAGTAATCCATGAAATAGCAGGAGAAAATACAAATGACTTATAAAAGCTGTTCACAGAATTAATGACAGAAAACTTCCCAAACAGAAGAGAAGAATTAGACATACAGATAAGTGAGGCATATAGAACCCCAACTAGCCAAAAAAAAAAAATCTACACCTACACATATAATAAACAAGATCCCAGAAATCCAACAGAAGAACAAAATACGACAAGCAGTAAGAGAAAAGAAACAAATCACATGCAAAGGAAAGCCCATCAGAATCACAGGAGACTTTTAAACACAAACCCTTAGGTCAAGGAGAGCCTGGAGTGAGGTATTTCAAGTCATAAAAGTAAACCACCTCCAACCTAGACTGATGCATCCGGCAAAACTCTCTTTCAAAACGGATGGGGAAATAAGATACTTCTACTACAAAGAACACCTGAGAAACTTCATGAACACCAAACCAGCACTACAAGGAATTCTAAACAATATCCTAGAAAAGGACAATGAAGGTCACAACACCATGAGGCCCAACAGACCAAATCAAATAGGCAAGGCAAGAAACTAAAAGGAGAGGGGAGAAAAAGTAAAAAGAGTCAACAAAATGACAATAACATGACAATAATAAGTCAGAACATATCAATTATACCATCAATGTCAATGGCTTCAGTGCACCAATCAAGAGAAACAGATTGGCAGAATGGATTAAGAAGCAAAATCCAACAATATGTTGTATACAAGAAACACACCTAGTGCAAAAAGAAGCCCATAGACTGAAAGTGAAAGGATGGAAAACAATTCTCCATGAGACAGGAGAAAAAAGCAGGGGTAGCAATCTTCCTTGCAGACAAAGTAAATTTCAAACCAAAACTCATTAAGAGAGACAAAGAAGTTCACTACATCCGTGTTAAGGGAAAATTCAAGAGGGAGAGATGACAATCATAAACATATATGCACCAAATATAAATGCCTCCAACTATACAAAATAAATATTAAGTAACATGAAAAACCAAATAAGCACTAATACAATTGTAGTGGGGGATTTAAATACCCCACTATCACAAATAGACAGATCATCTAGGCAGAAAATCAACAATGAAATACTAGAACTGAACCAAGCTTTGGAACACATGGACTTAATAGATGTCTATAGAGTATTCCACCCCACAAAATCAGAATATACATTCTTTTCAGCTGCACATGGGTCATTCTCCAAGATAGATCACATACTAGCTCACAAAACAGGTTTGAATAAATGCAA